TTAGGATGTGGAATGTGGGTGAGTGTGGAGGGAGGGTGGTGGAGGAACTGTTGGTGGATGAGGATGTGGAGTGAATGTTGGTGGATGAGGGTGGTGGAGAGAGTGTTGGTGGATGAGGGTGGTGGAGAGGGTGTTAGTGGAAGAGGATGTTGGTGGATGAGGATGTGGAGGAAATGTTGGTGGATGAGGGTGGCGGAGAGAGTGTTGGTGGATGAGGGTGGTGGAGAGGGTGTTAGTGGAAGAGGATGTTGGTGGATGAGGATGTGGAGGAAATGTTGGTGGATGAGGGTGGTGGAGAGAGTGTTGGTGGATGAGGATGCATGACATAGTGCAGGTGGATGAGGATGGTGGAGTAAATGTTGGTGGATGAGGCTGTGGAGTGAATGTTGGTGGACGGGAATGGTGGAGTAAATGTTGGTGGATGAGGCTGTGGAGTGAATGTTGGTGGACGGGAATGGTGGAGTAAATGTTAGTGGATGAGGGTGGTGGAGAGAATTTTAGTGGATGAGTGTGATGGCGAGGATGTTAGCGGAAGAGGATGTTGGTGGATGAGGATGGTGAAGAGAGTGTTGGTGGATGAGGATGCATGATATAGAGGAGGTGGATAAAGTGGTGGAGAGAATGTAGAGGAGGAAGGAGAGAGTGGTTGATGCGGATGATGGAGAAAGCGTTGGTGGATGAGGATAATGAAGAGCGTCGGTGGATGAAGTGGTGGAGAGGCTGTTAAGGAGGGAGGAGAGAGTGTAGAAGGATGATGAGGAAGAAGGATGTGGTGGAGAGAGTGTGACCATGGAGAGGATGTTGAGAGTGTTGGTGGATGAGAGTGGTGGAGGATTTGATGGACTGTTGGTGGATGACGGTGGAGTCTTAATGGATGATTTGGTGGAGAGTGTTGGTGGATGATGAAGGGAAGACAGAGAGAATGGAGGAGGAGGAGAAACAATGAGGGAGAGGGGTGGAAGGAAGGTAGAAAGAATGGAAGGGAAGAGGAAAGAGAGAGAGAAAGAAAGAGAGAGAGAGAGAGAGAGGAGAGAGAGAGAGAGAGAGAGAGAGAGAGAGAGAGAGAGAGAGAGAGAGAGAGAGAGAGAGAGGGAAATAGAAAGAGAAAAGGAAAGAGAAAGAGAGAGAAAGAGAAAGAGAAAGAAAGAGAGAGAAAGAGAATGAAAAAAAGAAAGAGAAATGAATAAAGAAAGAGAAAGAAAGAAAAGAACAAACCTCAACTCAAAACACCCGAAGAATCGAAATGAACGACAAGAACAAGAAAGCAACAGAAAGAAAACCAGGAAAATCAAAGCCGACTTGAGTCCAGGCAGGGATGCTGAGGCGAAGGCAAGTTACGCAACCCGTCTTGCATTTCCACCAAAAATAACAGGCAGAAGGGAGGATCATCTGGATAGAATTCCACACTTGTCTTGCCTTCGCTCGTGTCTCTCTTCGCCTGTCTCTCTTCTCACTGCCTTCGTTGGGTTGTCTTTTTCTTTTCTTTTTTTATTTTTTGTTTTTTCTCTCTTTTTCCCTTTGTTTTGGGCTTCTTCTTTTTTCTTTTCTTTTCTCTTTTCTTCTCTTCTCTTCCTTTCTCTTCTCTTCTCTTCTCTTCTCTTCTCTTCCCTTCCCTTCCCTTCCTTTCCCTTCTCTTCTCTTCTCTTCTCTTCTCTTCTCTTCTCTTCTCTTCTCTTCTCTCTCTCTCTCTCTCTCTCTCTCTCTCTCTCTCTCTCTCTCTCTCTCTCTCTCTCTCTCTCTCTCTCTCTCTCTGTTATTCTTATCAGCCCTTCCTTTCCTTCGCATTTGCATAATCGCATTTCACATAAAGATATTTTTGACACTGATTGGCATTATTGAATCATTTTTCCTCTGTCTAACTGCCCATTTTGTTGTCTGTCTCTATCATTTATCACATCATGTTTATTTATTCACACTCCATGTTCACGTCCGTTTCTCCGTCACTTTGTCAATATCAGTACTTGTGTGTATGGAAGATTTTTCGATTTTATCAACGTTGTAATATCAGTAATTACTTCAGTTTTACTCCATTATATTTCAATCATCCGTTGTCGTGTTTTTTGTTTTTTTTTCATTTTATCAGATTTTACATTTTGAATTAATATGGTGGTCTTTACCCTATGACCTCTCTCAGCAAGCGGTGTTATACGAAAGTCATCCTTATCTCAACTATCAGCAAGGTTTGGTTTACTAGTTAGGGGTTTTCCACGCCCCTTCCCTCCTCTCTCTCTCCTTCTCCCCTTCTCACCCTTCGTCTCAGGTTTATATTTAGAGGAGAGAATAAATGAGAAGAAGAAAGATGTCTTAGGGAAGAAGATGAAATTTCCTGCGAGAGGATGAGAAGAAAAAGCTTCAGTTCTTATATTAATTACTGTAATAGTAAAGATTAGTAAGTGATACCATCTGTATATTTCCTTTCGTAAGTTTTTTTTCTTCTTCTTCTTCTTCTCGTTGGAAAATCTGATGGAACGATGTTTTGGTCGGTTGATGTTCATTGAAGCCACACTGCTCGGTTTCCCTTCACATTTTTCATTCGCAGTATCACCTACTTTTCCCTTCTCGCGGGAAGAGAGGGTCTCTAACTCCTTTCTTTTCTCTCTTTCTTTCTTTCTCTTTCTTTCCTCTCAACCGATGTATAATCCTAAAGGAAAAATCATTGACAAGCCGTTCAGTCTGTTATTTCGGGCCATTTCTCACCACGCGCGCCATCAATCGGGCAAATCGCGGCGCTCTTTGGCCGCGCGTCAGCCATCAACGGCGCGGCAATCATCATTCATCTGGCAATCACCATCCATCAGTGCCACGGCGGCCGCCCGAACCGCTCCGTGTCGGCGCGAAGGTCCTTGACACGGGAGTAGCAGCGCGACAGATTGAGATAAATCTTTGGGATGCTGGGAGGAAGTTGAAGAGACGGAGGTGGGTGGGAAAGACAGAGAGAGAGAGAGAGAGAGACGGAGAGAAAGAGGAAGGGAGAGGGGTAAAAGTTCCTTCGGGATTTTGAGCAAGATGTCATGGCACGAGAGTCGTATTTGTGTCTCTCGTGACTGGCGTAATTGGTTCTCACAGATGAATGCCTTCTAGAAAATTAAAGAACCATAAAAAAAATGAAAATCTTAATCTCCGTCCCACTACTTTGTGCAATTTGCTCGCGTTAGCTATATCTTCTTTTAAAATGTTATTTCAAATATAACCCTTAAAGAAGCCAATATCAGCGTCAGAGATCTTGAAAGGCAAGCTCTAAATTACATAAACGTCATGATTGTAGACAACAGTAAAAAAAACACCGCCAACCCACAGCAATTATCGTACACTTGGTAACGCGCTCTCGTCAACAGGTCATCGCCGGGGTGAAGATATTATTTGTGTCAGATAATGGCCCCGCCTCCGTGCCCTGACATCCTTAATTGTCCGAAGACTTTGATGCTTCCACGCGGAGGTGAAAAACACGGATAATTTGTGAATGGGCGGGCATAAATGGACGGTTAATTTTTGCTAAACAGAGAGGGGGAGGATGGGAGAAACGGGGATGGGAGGGAGAAGGGGGCGACGGAGGGAGGGACGGAGAAAGAGATAGAGAGAGACAGGGATAGAGCTAGAAGAGATAGAGGCAGACAGAGATAGAACTAGAAGAGATAGAAGCATACAGAGAGAGACAGACATAGACACAAACACAAACACAGAGAGAGACAGATGCAGACAGACACAGACAGAGAGATGGAGAGAGAGAGAGACGAAGAGGGAGACAGGGAGATCAGGGTGGGGTTGTTGGAGCCTAACCACAACGAGGTCAGATGCCACGGGAGAGTCGTCTCGAAACTACGGCTTTTTTGACTGATGGGCCTCCCTATACGGAACTCTAACGTGTTTTGTGGTTCCATTAAACGCTTTAGTGTGTATTTAGGGTTTGTAATTAGATCCTTTGAGGTGTAAGGGACGAGCTCCTTCTCCGCTGTTCTTTCTCATTTCTCTGAAAGATTTCGCTTTCATGCGAACCGCGAGATGATACACAAGTTTGCTCATTATACTGTTAATTTTCTGTTACACGCTTTAATCTCGAGGGATAAAATAGCTACGAACGCGGGCTTCCATTTAAGATTAAACGGATGGAAAACTGCTCGTCCCATCCCCGTTTTCTTCGGAAGGGATCATTAAAAGCGGAGGGGAAAAGTAATTTAGAAAATGGGAAACGCGAGTCCACTATTCCGGAGAGGCGATCATGCTATAAATTCTTTGATAATTATAGGCCTACGCCACCTGTTATAACGGAAGAGATCAGGGGAAGGAGAGAGGCAGAGATAAAAATGGAAAGAAGAGTGTCCTTGAGGAGAGTTGATGGGTTGAAGGGAGCAATTTGGTTGCTAATAAACGACGCTGATTTTTTTTTTTTTTTTTTTTATAATTTGTGTTTTGGATCTGTTGTTTTAGTGCTTTTCTGTGCTTGCTCGTCATTCCCTTTCTTTTCTTCTCTAATTGCCTGCGCTTATCATTCGTGCATATTTTAGGTGTTTTGGCAGATAATGGAATTTATATTTATTCAGGTGTTTTTCCTATTTACATCACTGTATTACATATCTTTAATAACATGCGCACAATGATGCACACACATACACGCACACACGCACGCACGCACATACACACACACACACACACACACACACACACACACACACACACACACACACACACACACACACACACACACACACACACACACACACACACACGCACACACACACACACACACACACACACACACACACACACACACACACACACACACACACACACACACATATATATATATATATATATATATATATATATATATATATATATATACGTATATATAGATATATACATATATATATGTACACACACACACACACACACACACACACACATACACACACACACACACACACACACACACACACACACACACACACACACACACACACACACACACACACACACACACATATATATATATATATATATAGATATATATATATATATACGTATATATAGATATATACATATATATATGTACACACACACACACACACACACACACACACACACACACACACACACACACACACACACACACATATATATATATATATATATATATATATATATATATATATATATATATATATATATATATACATATATATATATATATATATATATATATATATATATATATATATTTGTATATATATATATATATATATATATATATATATATATATATATATATATATATATATATATATTTGTATATATATATATATATATATATATATATATATATATATATA